TTGATGGTGGCTTCTGAACCATGCGTTACTTGTCTATGATGGGAGTAAAGCAAAGAGTTAGTTAGCTTGTCACATGGCATCCTAGTACAAGCGATACCATGGAAGATTAGTTTCTACTGGACCATCGCGGGTTCTTAACTTGAATTTTTAGGGATCAGATAGCTCATTTGCTTCTGATATCGTCAGACAACGATCAGAACAAAAACCAGTGGCCGGTCTCATGGCTTTTTATTGCAGTCTTCATACGAATGAGATGAACCTTCCTTACCAGACGAAATGTATTACAGCTGTTTCTCAACTAAACCGTACCTTATATTAAATTCTGTTTTTTTATTTACTTGACCTTCCTTCTATTTTTCCAAAAATTATCGCTTCACTCTATGTGACTTAGTCTTGGACTATCCTTTTGCACTAAAGTTCTCCAAGCGTTGAATAAATACTGCTACATAATCAGTTTGTATTCACAGATAATTCGTTGCTATATCTCTCCAGGACAAAAAATGTCCCCCAAGTTCGTACTTGCCAAAAAATAAACGGTTCTCAGACAATATTTGTAGCAAGTAGTTCTGTTTATCCTCTGTCTCTAGGTCCCAGCACTTCCAACTAAATGTCTCTTAACTTCACGGAACAGGAGTGAAGTTACGTGGGAATTATTTCTTAAATAAATAAATAATTCCTAACATTCTGACCAGAGCTCACATAACCCAATTTCATCAAATAGCGCATTGGCAACTATTGACTAGGATTCAGTTTGGAAGTATCCCTTTGACTTTAAATGAATGCTACTACGAAAATTCGCTCTCGAGCCAGAGACTCACACCGTTTATCTAAAGTTTGGTGAATAATACTCGTGCGAGTTTCAAAAACACTGGAGTTCCTTACCCATCTATTGTGTTAAGATTTCTGAAAGCTATCTAATTTCCGATCCTCTTTCTTAATGTATTCCCATTATCTTTTATCTACCTAGTATTGAATCACCAAGTTACTTGTTATACAGATCTAAAAATGGAGTACATTGACAAACTCCCGGATGAGCTTTGCTGCAAGCCTAAACCTCTCGTCGTATTTTCCGGTTTGGATACGGAAAGAAATCAAGTCCATCGGTCTATTTGGAGAGCCTTCAATACTAGTAAAAGCCATGACCGAGATTCATTTAAATTTCGCTGCAAATCAGTCGACCACCAGTTTCCAAAGCCGAAGTGCAAGGTTTGTTGTTCGTTTCAATTGATATTTCTTAGAGTCTTGTTGTTCAATTCGTTATATGATTATTAGGAAAGGTTTGGATTATTCTTATGTTGATATTCGTCCCAAATGGGACGAAATGTGCTTGTCTTATATAAGTTGGTTATATGCTTTCTTCATCATGAAGTAATGGGTATTAGTTGTAATCGTTTTTATTTTCCTCATTTCAGCATTTTGATTGAAATAGTAAAACACTGCAATATAAAGTCAAATACATTTCGTATCGAGTTTCACCTAATCTCTTATAAATGATCCCGTTCATCTACTGTTGGTGAAATGAATTCCCACGGACATAGGCGTTGAAATTGGTCGATCAAAACAAGTAAATATGGTTCCCATAACTAGCTAGCTTGATAAGGTTCTTGTAGTTCGAATTCATAGTTCCAGATATATGAAGTTCTAGTCAATAGTCCCCAATTTTTCATCTCACAACAGTCCTTTCATTAAGTCCCGGTTTTCGTATAACTTTCTCGTTAGTGAACGAAATGTTCGAACAACGATTTTTTTTATCCAATTAGTTTTATATTTAACTCTAGGCATTGAGATTCAAAAACTAATAAAGGTCAGTTAAATAAAATCAATAAATATATGGCGGTAATTAAAAAAATAAGGTAGGAAAAATAGTCTAGACTGAAAAAATAAGTTGTCACATCCCTCTAGATCTTAAAACATATTAAACATTGTCAAGACAGATCCAAGTTTAGGACGAACATTTTTTGTATTCAAAGGAAGATTAAGTTTCCTGATAACCAAAGCTTCTATAAACTTAAAAGTGCACTCCTGACAGTCTCTGTACGAGCCTTCAAAACTGCTACAAGGTCGATCCCATGACCTGTTTCACTTATGTTTTGGAATCAAGGAGTATAGTAGTTTATTGAAGCATCTGAGACCAACTGACCATTACGCTATTTTGGAGCATGTTTCATCACATTTTTGATTGCGAAATTTGATTACTCTTCCCTATTGGTGTGTGTTCCCACACGTTTGTGAATTGGTAAATACAGTAGAATATGATAATCATTGATACGGTGTTTATGCCTATGAATAATTATGGGTTTCTTTTCAAATAGCAACCAGTTATACAACATATTTTTTGATGAATGGCTTTAATCTACTTCAAAATCATGCTGCTTTTTTCTATCTTATAATGTAATTTCACCTAACAGCTTTTTAAATGAAACAATCAGGAAGAGTTCTGACTTTAACTAACTTTTACACTTTAACGGATTTGTTTAATGTTGATGTTTCGGTCACCGGTTCCGTATCCTCTTCAGTCGTATCTGTACTACAGATTCGTTAAATTCAATCAAAGGTATCTAATAAAGCCTCGTTTGTACTGGAGTGAACAGAAACTGTGGAAGCCTATAGATTCATCAGTTTAGGTAGCCTTTTTACAAACTGATCTTACGGTTGCTTAGTCTCTGACATGAAGTTTGTCTAAAATTATGTCTCAAATCACAATTTTCAGATTAACTCTGGCTTATTACAGTATCGGTATTTATTAGTAGGATTAATAGTTTTGAATGATATATCATGTTTTGATTCTTTTTAAAATTATATATGAGGTTATTTCTCGTTAAAATGATCGATCAGTCATCAGCTAGTTGGGTGTGTTGTTGGTAGATAATCTTTCGGAAAGCTCATACTTCTGAGCTTCCCTTAGCTGATGTAAACAATAACTGATGTTCATTTATCTTGAACTGAAATGTGAAAAGTTCATTTTGACTGTGGTCTCAGAATTTATCAATGTTTCACCTTCCCTAAAATTTATAAGTTTTCCTTTAATGTTTATTAATATTTCAGCAACTGGCTTCATATGAATGGCTCATGCCAAAAGGCATACTCAAAACTGGTTGGATGAAAAAACATCTTGAAGAAATACCTGCATTCGTTGCTTTATTTTACGATCTAGATTGGGACGAACCACAGTGGGGAGAAAGGTCAACTGAATGCGCTCAAATGGTGGCAACTGTTCGGTTGGTATTTTGTTTTTACTTATTTACTCATGGTAACTGAATTTAGATCAAAACTTGCTGGTCGCGAAAGTAAATTAGTGGTCATTCTTATACAGAAACGTGCCCCTTACCTTTGGGTGAAGATCTTAATGCCATGGATCGAGCTCAATCTCTTTGTAATAAGTGTGATCTTCCTGGAAAGAATTTGTTTGTTTTGTCGCATACAAACTTACTTTATGGATGCATTACAAGGTATGGTTTCTAGTTGATTTACAATGATTCATGCAATCTTGTGTATTTAAATGAGTATAGGTAGATTGTAAAATGGAAGTATGGGACTACAAAACATCTACTGCTATTTATAACTTTCAGTCGGACGGACAACATGTGTTTACCGTCACTGCTTAACATTATCTATCTAAACTCATGAGTAGATGCAAGAAACATTTGGCGTTCAAACTTTAACTACTCGGTACCAGGTTCCTTTAATTCAGTCAGCTTTCCAACAGTAATGTAATCTGTTCAACTCATTATGCGAATGTGTCTAGCTTCATCTGTTCAACTGTGTTTCACTCGATATTTCTGTTCGAACAAACAAAGATTTATTACAGAATAGTTGCAGTTCGCTTTCAAATGCACTTCTGATATCAATTATTAATCCTGATGAATGTAGCGTGGTTGAATTGAACTATCATCCGTTAGCTAATCAATAGTCTCTGCATATGACCATAAAGATTTTGCATCTCATTTGCTTATGACTTTAATAGACACAGGTCAGGATACAAGCTGGTGTCGATCATGGTGTAATTTTATACTTTCCTACATTAGAGATCGGAATTTTCGAGGAACGAAGTTCATCTTGCTTGTGTTCTTGCCTGAATTTTTTTGATAATGTCCCTATTCTTTTTGTTATAATGTGATTTTCTCTCTTCTATTTCCTCACGTTCGTCTCTGCCGTTAAGTTCTAGGAGTTGGTTTCCACCATTGATTTGGAGTTTTTTAACTTCAGTAAATGAGATCATATTCACGAGTCATATTAAGCACGAGGAACTCGCGTATATTCTTCCATCTCTATGAAAAACACTTACTTAATAAGTGAGCTTCATATCACCCACATCTGGATTTATGAGAGCATATGGAAAAATAGTCGAGACCTATTCATTACTGACCACATTTGGGTATTCACAATCTACGGGTAATCATAGTATTGAACATTCTGAGCTACGACTTTTTACCTGTTTTAAAGTCAGAGATTCAAAAACTAAATTGAGTCTGTTATTTTATATTTAATACATTATATATATATATATATAATTTCATATTGACTAATAAGTTGATTGTTTTACACAGATTAGAAGATGAATTTCGTGATATGGCAGCTAACTACTACCATAATCAAGCTAAAAAAGTGAAAGCTCACAAGGATTCACTCAACAAAACTAGTCACCAGGTAATTTTTTATAAATCAATTGATCATTATTACTGCTGTTAAGATATGGATACCAACCACTTGCCACCTTTCGTTTCTGTATATTTTGTAATTATTTTACCAATACATTTGTTAGAAACTTGATTGGGTTGTAACTGTTGTTGTGAATGAAATAGCACTTTTTCCTCACTAATCAAGATTGTTTTATTATTGCCAACAATCTATTTAATTAGTTATATCCAGTTTCTGGTAACTAGAATTATTCTTAGTCTAACATTCATGTTTTTACGTAGTGCATTATCACAACAGTTTTGTTTAGATCATGGTTACATTAATGACATCTTCATCCTCCATCAAATTGTTGAATATGGTTACAGGTGTTGTTAGCTAAAAACTGTTGAGCTTTTTAATAGCTTATTAGTTGTCTTCCACTGACTAGACTATGTTCTTGAATTGTCTGCTAACTTGAACTATGTTTGTTAATTTTGGCTGTATTAAGTTATTTTGTCAAGGCTTTCCAAAATGATAGTAAACTTCCCAAATAAACCTTTCTCTAACGGATGATTCCAGAGCACATTCCTTTCCAATGAATAGAAGAAAAGAAATGCAATAATTGTTCCACGCTTTATCGATTGGGAAATAAGTACGAAGTCATAATATTACTTAACCTTGTTATTTAATAGCTTGCTGTTTAACAGATTTTTTCAAAATTTAATCGATTACAGTTATTGTTTGTTCGTCACGAGTTCAAAATTGCTTTCTATGCTGAATTAAAACAAGATCCAGGATTAGCGCTGAAGTAAGTTCATCCAGAGGTGTATTTACTTATTTCTAATAATACGCGTTTTTTGTTTTTACCTTAAGCACACATTCAATCTCCTAGTCGTCGTGTAAGCATTTTTAACGACAATGACATTTGAAATTATGCATCCTAAATTTTAAAAAAGTGTTGTCCGAATTCCTTCTCAAGTTCGTGAATTGTGTGTAACACGGGGTAGGTATACTTAGAGATTAGTAGTGGTGGAAATAATCCAACCCTAATGCTTTCGATTGTTGGTACTAATGCTCAAAGTGTATCTGCAGTGACATAGTGTCTAAAGCACTTGACTTTCAATTGTTTATTCTCAGGATCATACAGTGCTCCCACTACGATTGTACCAATCAAATAGGTTCTCCAACTCTCACAGTTAAATAGGGTATAGCTCAAAGACTAGTACATAAAATTGTTATTGATTATGAAGCTAACTTAAACAGATGCAGTTGTATTGAAGCTCTTGGTCTTGCAGTGTGAACTCACACTATCTGATGCTTCTCAGATATGCTGTGGCAGGGCTACTCAGTCAGTAAGTTACCTCGTTACTCTGGATTTGATAGACGTATTGACAAATATATGTTTATCATGCATACTGCATGCATCCTACTCTAAAAGGTTCTAAATTTGTTCCATACTCTAGAAGCATCTAGTTAATTTCAGAACACAGTAACCGTTTTTTTGTATTTCAGACATTATCAACAGGCATATAATCATTTAACAGAGTTGAGAATGTTAGATGCTCATTTGCTGGAAGTGAAAACAGTAGCTGGATTTATTAACTACAAGGTAATTAATAACTGTTAATTATTATATTTTTGGATAATTTTTGAATCTAAAAGAAATTTTAGTTTCTGGCATCTCATTGATACCATATAAATGTAATCGGAATCTTGAAGATTAATGTCATATGTATCTTACATATGTTGTTTCATGTTTTGCCATGAAACACTCCAAATATGCTTATTATATCTCATCAGTTGTTTTGGTGATGGTCATATCTGACACTATACTAAAATCTATCATACATCTGTGTAGTCTCCTTGATCACAATTCGATATGAAGACATTTTTCTGATAGAAACTTCAGTTGCTTGAACAACTTGGATTTGCTTATTCTCAGACCCACTGGGGCTTACTTAAGTTACTTTAGATAATGCGATAAGAAGTTTATCATAATTATGTGATACATTTACTTTGAATTTTAAGTAATCGGTCATTAGCAATTTAGAACCTGGCATAAAATGTATGGCTGCCCGAATTGTGGCTCAACATTAACATAGCAAAGTCAAATAATCGTAACGAATACTAAATAAGTGGTAGTATAATTGATATTTTAATAATTACGCATAGATAATGAATAAATTTCAGGAATACAACGCGTATGATAATTTCTAAATGTGGTATCTAAGGCTGAACAAATAGTAAGTGGATCTAGGCCATTACGACAAATTCTGAGACATCACCTAACGTCTCCATGTATTGGTCGCAGTGATCGCGTGGACCCCAACCAAGAAGTCTGCACTTACTGACATTCTCAGTAGTCAGTGGTTTCATTAACTGATGCTATATCTTGGTTCAGCTATCCCTAGCTTTCTTGTGATCGCCTACATCAATTATTACCTCTAGCCCGAGGTACGTGGCAATCGGATAAACACAATTCATGTACCAACCACCTGCCTATGAAGATTCACTGCTTCATCAACTGATTTGCCATCATTACATAGTACCGTACGTCACTTTAAGACTACTCACCCGGTGGTACCTATATGTTTGAAGGCATCTATACTTTCAGCCAATATATATATATATATATATATATATATATATATATATATATAATAATATACTTGCAACGAATGTCTTCCACGTTTTAGTCACAAAGTAAAACAGGAGAATGCTGCATAGAGTACTCATTATTTCGTCAGTAAACATCTCGCTTACGGCACAAGTGACAGGAGTCCATAAAAACCAAACAAACTTTCTAAATCCATCCCGATATTTTGTCACATAACAACCTATCAAAATGATGAAACTTCGCAGATAAGTAAAATAATCGACGCTATAAACCACTTTATTCCCCATAATTATTCTGTGTTGATGCAAACCAATCTTGAATGAACATTTTTCGCTTTTAGGGGAGGGAATACATCTCAAATATACCTACATTGACTCACGAGAATCATTAGAATGCCTCATTTGGTCAGTCTTCACCAAATAGTAGTATACCACCTACGTGCTCCAAGTTGATAAATGAATCTCCTGATAGATAGTTAATCCCTGAAAAGTCTATGATGGGAAATTAGGTAGCCACTCATGGTAACGGTTCACCATAAACTCTGTCTCGACCAACATTGTCCAGATAAAGAACCTTCACATGGTTTATGTACTTCTTCGGTACACCTTTTAGTAAATAACGTCAAAGAAATCACGAGTCTACGAAGTTGTATACTACTTTTTATTAAAGAAGTACCACTATTGTCCGGTAAACTTCCATCGGAAACAATAGCTTCGGGTGATGTTTGTCAGGGTTGTTCGCTTTCTTCATTTCCATTTAACTTTGTCGTTAACATCCTTTTAGAAATAACACTCTCATCGTCTGAATTTTCAGAGGTTGGTCTTCTGCCGGAAAGTTCACTTTACTTAGAATACACAGATGATGTAGTTCTGTTTAGTGAAAACGCTGACAAAATCTAGCCTTCTGACCACCTTTAGTAATAATGCATGCATGTTCAGAATGCGATTCTTAGATCCTAAGTTTCTAAAGTTTTGACTTTTTCGTATTTCACCAATTTAAATCTCAAATTGTATCTTTGATGGTTAAACTTTCTTAATACCATTACTACTGTTGTTAACTCTACTTTCCTGGTATTTCGCCTGACAGTTTCATCTCTCTATGCTGATAGGATATAAGAAATCTAAACCGATGTATATACTTACTAGGTTTTCCGCTGCGACTGACTCGTTAATTATCCCGATGTTTCGAAACGAAGGATAAATACTAATCGATATATCCACATACAAGTTTTGAGGCAACCTGGTTTTCTAGTGTTTTCCGTTCTGATAATTATGATGCTAATATTTTAGAAATTATGTTGGTCGAACTAACTCCTACATTTACTACAAGAGAATTTCTACTCTTGTTTATAAAATGGACGACCAGTGATTGGTACCATCCAGATAGAATTGTGTTCAGCTGGTACTTTTAGTTTCTCTATGATTATAGCATTTGAATTTTAATTATTATTTCTAATTTCTGAACCTTGCTTTACGTCTTTTGGCAGCCAAGTATTGTCACCAGTCCTTCAACAAAAGTGTAACTAAAAGTTGACTATATGAAGCTGTACTTGGTTAGCGTTGTCTTGGAATTTGTCGCATTATCTTTTTACCTATGCCACCGACTCTTTTTGTCTCTTTACATGACGTTATCAACAACTCTGACTATATATCATTTTCGTTTAGATATGCCGCCTGTCTTTTCAAAATAATGCATCTGATGCAATATCACAATTTCGAAGACATATTAATTTTTTTGCGAATCTCGTCGGATTACCACAGTTAGCTTTTGAGCATGAAGCATGGATGTCAAAGCAGTAAGTGATATGTTGCATTATTTTATTTCCGTGTTGCATAAAATGTGAAGTAGTGATCATTTACTGAAAGAAGTGATATTCATTTGTGTTCCATACATAGTTCAATAGTTTATCTCTATTAATACGTCTTGTAAATTTCTTAGGTTTGAAATTCTTGGAGATCTTTTCCAAGAAGCTATCAAATCTAGTCTCACTCCCCTTATAACCCAACATCCTGGATTATATTACCAAGAAGCATCTAGACATGCTGTTTGCCGTCGTCAGTTATGTCAAGCTTTATGCATCCCTACTGTTAAAGCTGCTGAAATGAATGCAGATGACAGATTATACTATCCTTTGTCAACAGAATCTAATGAATCCACTGTTGGAATTGACGCCGCTTTGGCTACAGACAGCGGTCTATTTGCCGAAGAAAGTGAATCTTCACCTCATTCACCAAATCATTCTTTAGAATGTTCCAGATCAAAACGTACAGCAATCAACACCGCTGTAGAGTTCGTTCGAGCTCAGTCACCTCTTTTGTTTAAAAAACAAATTTTTACAGCGGACAGTCCAAACTTACGCTATCATTCACCCAGTCAGGTACCTGCAGCAGATTGTTTGTCAGCTACAGAGAAAATAAACGGTCTTGAATTTTACGGTCAGCGACCTTGGCGCCAAGGTATTCAAAGTATTGAACCACCAAATCCAACAAAAGAACGAGAAGGGATCTTAAGTTTGCAAAAAGAAGAACTCAAAGTAGATCATTCTGTAAGTTTTGTTATTTGTAGTATGTTTTCAGTCAACCTAATTATTTAGTCCTATATTATGTTTGCAGATGTCTTCAGGTGTCTCTGACTGAATTATTTACAAAGCTCCGGTAATTAGAGAGTGTTCCAACATGAAATGAGTCGATGGGTTCACGTCGTTTCTGCAACAACTATCGGAGGATAAGTCCACTTCCGATTACGTCCAACATATTAACTTTCGTCATACTTCGTAGATTGTTCAAAACACGAGGAGGAGAATGCTGGTTTCCCGTCTGGTCGAGGATGTAGTGATCATGTATTCACCCTCCGCCAAATATTAGAACACCGTCATAATTATCCCAGACCAACAATCTTAGTGTTTCATGACATTAGGAACGCCTTCGATTCGCTGAACAAGACTCTCCTCTAGGACTGTCTATTGAAGAAGCGTGTATCTGAGAAGTTTATTAACATCTTGAAGGCACTATATACTAACACCTCGGGCAGAGTGAGCTCATACAACAACCTCTCTCCATTGTTCTATCCAAGCAGTGTGTTTAGGCAGAGTCGCTCAATCTCACTATTCCTCTTCAACTTTCGTATCATGACGTTCCGAAAACAACTCAGATGGATGTAGGTAATGGTGATGTGGATCTGTTGCCTGAAGAAAGACTTCTCGACCTTGAGTATGTGAATGGTATTGTGTTACTGTGCGATGACACCCAAACCATACAATCCGCACTTAATCGGTTGGCAGTCAATGTCCGTAGGTACAGCTTGTGCTTTGCACCTTCCAAGTGCAGAGTACTTTTATAAGACTAATAGGACCCTGACCATGCACTCACCCTAGGTGGTGAGCAGATAGAAGTGGTTACTAAGTCCGTGTACCTGAGTAGCTGAGTAAGTTCTGGTGGTGGTGTGGGTGATGAGATCAATCCACGTATAGTGGAGGCCAGAGCGGTTTATGGCAATCTGGGTCTTCTTTGACGCCTTTGTGATATTAGTTTGGTTGTAAAATGTCGGATCTACGACGTGTTGATGAGAGCAGTTTTGCTGCATGCTTGTGAAACCTGACCTCTCCGAGTTGGCTCAGAATAGAAGCTAGTGGTGATTCTGCTTTCACTTTCTTCACAAAAGTGAATGTAACTTCTTTAACTTGAAGAATTCCTTCTGCTTTTCCAATTATTATTATCATTATTCCACTCTCATACACTGATTTCTGTTCATCGCCGTTCTCCTTCTATTATACGCACTTTACATTCTCTATCTCTTCACGACCTCATTGTTATTTTGTAGTGCATATGTATTTGGTGCCCCTTGTACTAATGTTTATGTGTTCAAATAAACAAATGAGTAAGTAAATGAACAGTTTTTAGTTCACTATCATGTAATGATCTGCTACATGAAATCATGCTGTTGAAATTGCTTTACCCCACCCCCAACATGTAGATCTCATTTATCATCTTGTGAATAGGTTTTAAATATATTTCGTTATTTGTTGGTGTCTGTTTTCTTATTTCACAAGTTACATGGCCTCATATTCTGTTAGCATTAAAAGTGCATTATTTTTGTGGTAATAAATCATACTCTATTCATCAAATATTTGTTAATGAGGGCACGATATATTTTGTTTTTTGCCGGTTATTTTCTCTACAATTATAAATACTGTTAGTCAAAATCGTTCAACGTGATCAGTACTTTTGAAATTTCAGAGTTTTATTATACCACTACTTGAACAAACTCGATTACAATACAAACGATATAAAGCTGAACGAATGAAACTATATCCGTGTGAGTGAATAGTTTAAGTGCTTCTATTGTTTTTTATTGCCATTATTGAGTATCTAACCGTAGATTTTACCACTTTTCTTTTATTGACGCTTAACACGAAGAAACTTACGACAATAAATTGCTACGTTTTAATATTTTTGAGATAAGTATTTGAGTTATTAGGTTTTACTGGATTTTAAGATCTATGGGTTCGATGTTTCTGTGCCACTGCAATCATTTTTTTGTCTTTTGATGTGTAATTTGACAGCTTGTGGTATTTCTTGTGTTACGAAACAATGATGAATCATAGGTGCACATACAATGTTCATTAAGATATGACAAACTTTGCTTCCGGAAGAGTACCACATCCACAACTCATTTTTTACATTATTTAATTCATAGATTAGATTTATTCGACTTTGTGCTCCTAACGTGTCACCAATTAATGTATACATATAGTAACCCCGACCGTTGTTGCTACCTTGACGTGGTGGTCGGGCTTGCCTATCGTGATGAAGCAACCGAGCTATACTGGCTGGAACAACCGTTCCTCAAGGTCCTACCATGTCAGACAGGTCGGTTGAAGAGCGGTAAGACTAAAAGCAACAAACCCAAGGTCCGAAGGCGAAGTCGTACTGCTGACTGTACAGAGGTGTGACAGCAGTAAGGTGTTTCCTTCAGACAACCAGCATGACAGCGATGCTGCCTTCCCACAAGGAGGGGTGGGGTTAGAAAAGGTCGACCCTAAAAATGCACACCTCGCCTTATCCCACGGATATCCGTCTCCGGCGGTAAGGTCTCAATAAGTACGGAGCTAACACAAAAATTACCCATAACAAGGTCGTGTGTGACCGACCTCAAGCAGTTGTCCCTTGGGCACTGCGGTCACGCTCTCAGGTCACTAAGACCACCTCTAATCCAATTTCCTTTTCAGGTACCTCCAGAACAACCCTTCCACGGTGTGGGCAACCGGGAAGTGATAACCGCCCTCATACCTCTAACAGCACTCAAGACCACTGTATTCATAATCAACCTCCTCTTCAATTCCTATTATTCCTCCTACATCGACTTTCAACTCTAAACTTCCTCCTCAAGTGTCACCATAGCCAACGATTCTAGTGCGCAAAACACTGTCCCAGGTCTACTGAAACCTCGCTCCAAACTACACATTGGAGCCTTCAACGTACGCACCCTATGTCAAATCGGTCAGCAGGCTTCCTTGGCTAAAACCCTAGAGTCTCTTTCCATTGATGTATGCTGTGTCTCCGAAACACGCATACAGGATTCCAGTGTGGTCATTCACTTGACCTCACCTCGGCAAACGGAGAGCCAACGAGATACACCCTTCGTGTATCTGGTGACCCGATGGCAAGTTCTCGTGGACTGGCAGGTGTAGGCATAGCACTAAGCATGAGGGCCGAACAAGCACTGCTAGAGTGGATCCCCGTCAACAGTCGTCTATGTGCTGTTCGGCTGAACGGCTACGTAAGAACTCGGAAGGATAGGGACACACGTCGTTGCCTTTTTGTCGTTTCTGCCTACGCTCCCACTGACTGCAGCTCAGATGAAGTGAAAGATGAATTTTACAGAAAGCTGTCCGAACTTCTTCAGAAAGCTAAACGCTCAGACATAGTACTCGTAGCAGGTGATTTTAATGCTCAGATAGGCAGTTTAAACCAAACAGAAAGGCATTTAGGTGGATATTTTAGTATTCCGACACAGCGAACAGATAATGGTGATCGTCTGCTGCAGCTATGCTCAGACAATCGTTTATTTTTAGCAAACACAAATTTTAAGCATAAGGAGAGACATCGTCTAACATGGCGACCCCCTACACCAAACCAACGATGGACTCAAATAGACCATATTGCCATCAGTCATCGTTGGAGAGGGTCGGTAGAAGATTGTCGCTCATTCTGGAGTACCTGCTTGGACTCCGACCATGCCCTAATACGGGCACGCATCTGCTTGCGCCTCACTGGACGCAAAAAAGCCACATTAAAAAGACCCATTAGAACTGAGTTGAGTAACGAGAAAACCAAAAGTAGGTTCCAGGAACAACTGAGGTCACACTTAGGTAGTTGTGAAGACGAGGCTGACCCAGATGTTGCTTGGAAGGGCATACAATCAGCTGTGGAAACAGCAGTGACATCTATTAGTGACTTAAACCACAGAGTTACAAGGAACCAGTGGATTTCTTCAAGGTCTGTCACACTGATGGATTCTCGCAAACTCGTCCCATCAGGTTCTGAACATGATGAAGAGCGTAAACAAATCAGATCTAGGTTAAGAAAAAGTCTAAGGAACGACCGTGAGCAGTGGTGGGTAACGAAAGCAAAAGAGATGGAAAAGGCGGCGACTATAGGGAACACAAGACAGCTTTACAGACTAATAAAAGAAACTGGAATTAATAAGTCAAGTGTAAGTGAGATTATTTCGGAAAAAGACGATACTCTCATCTGCTCCCAGTCCAGACGTTTAGAACGATGGGCGGAACATTTTAGAGAACAGTTCAGCTGGCCTTCAGCTACTCTACAACTACCCTCCATTCCCAGACAGTGTGAATGGAACATTGAAGTAGGTCCCCCAACTCTTGCTGAAGTTGAGAAGGCTATAGTTAATCTGAAACGAGGAAGGGCAGCTGGTCCAGATGGATTGGCTCCAGAGTCTTTAAGGATGGTGGTCCAATTTTAGCGATTAGGTTGACTAATATTTTAGCTAAGATCTGGGAGTTAGACGTTATCCCATCTGACTGGTCGCAATCACTTATCGTCCCAATATATAAGAAAGGGTCAAAATCATCCTGTGACAACCACAGAGGGATTAGTTTAACAAACATAGTATCTAAAATACTGGCCTCGATAATTATCAACGCCTAACTAAGACTCGTGAACTACAAACACGAGAGAACCAAGCTGGCTTTAGACCTGGTCGTGGCTGCATCGACCACATATTCACCATTCGTCAGGTTCTAGAACACAGGCATACTATCGGCGTCCGACGATGGTGGTCTTTCTTGACTTAAAAGCAGCATTTGACTCTGTAGACCGCGAGACTCTGTGGCAGTGTCTGTCATTGAAAGGCGTACCTCAGAAGTACATAAACCTTGTGAAGGCTCTTTACTCGAACACTACTAGTCGAGTCAGGGCTTATGGCGAACTGTCATCTACTTTTGCAACCTCAAGTGGTGTCCGTCAAGGCTGCCCACTTTCTCCATTTTTGTTTAACTTCATCATAGACCTATTGATGGAAATAACATTCTGGGGTATTGATCTCCTTCCAGGAGGTCCACTTATCGACTTAGAATACGCAGATGACATAGTCCTGTTTGGTGAAGACGCTGACAAAATGCAGAGTCTTCTGGTAGCACTAAGCAACAATGCCAGAATGTTTGGGATGCGCTTCTCTCCCTCTAAATGCAAGTTGTTGCTTCAGGACTGGTCTGCGTCAACACCTGAACTAAGGATAGGGAGTGAAGTAGTCGAAGCGTTGACAACTTCACTTATCTTGGAAGTCTGATCAGCCCTAATGGGTTGGTGTCTGACGAAATCTCAGCACGGATTCGAAAAGCTCGTTTGGCTTTTGCCAACTTACGTCACCTTTGGCGAAGGCGAGATATCCGTCTATCAATAAAAGGACGAGTATACTGCGCGGCAGTCCGTTCTGTTTTAATTTACGGCAGCGAAACATGGCCTTAAGAGTAGAAGACACTCGTAAGCTACTAGTATTTGACCACAGATGCCTTAGAAATATTGCTGGCATCTGCTGGGATCACCGGGTAAGTAATAGTGAGGTTAGACGCAGGGTATTAGGGAATGATGGTAAATCAGTTGATGAGGTTATGAATCTTCATCGACTGAGATGGTTGGGCCACGTGTTACGTATGCCTGAACACCGATTACCACGACGTGCAATGCTAACCGGTGTAGGAGATGGTTGGAAGAAAGTTAGGGGCGGCCAAACCAAAACGTGGCATCAGTGCTTAAAGTCACTAACTTCTAGTCTGAGCCATGTTGGTAGATGCAGACTACTTGGTTGGGGTCCGCGTGACTTTCGTAACCAATGGTTGGAGACTCTTGGTGACATGGCTCAGAATCGATCACAATGGCGTCGGTGTATACACTCTCTGTCTTCTCTTAAACTAAGAGATTAAAATCACTTCATATCTTTCTTTCTGTACCATATCCTTATTGCAATCTTTCTTTTATATATTACCACCTCTGAATTAACTACTTTTATGAATCCGGTGTCAATCTTGTTGTGTTAATGTGGTATGGCAACTTTGACCGATGCATATATGTGTCTGGTCCTACGTTGTATCTGACTGACTGACATGTAGTAACAATATTCCATTTTGTTAGTTCCAAGGCTTTGTCTACTTGGTTTAACCAAGTTTCTATATGTGCATCTGTGCTTAATTTTCAACATTCATGAATTTCAATTTTAGTTATACAATCGTTGTTTTTTCTCGTCATTATTTCTTAGAATGTTTCACTTAATAGAGTTGTATACGAATTTTAGTTCTATTTGTGATTATGTAACCACATTTGTTTAATATTATAGCACTATACAAACCTTTGATCAGCTTTGTCAGTTTATCTTGTCAATTCTAAGCCACCTTTTTTACTCATTTTTATTTCAGGTATTTTAATGGGTTCCGAATATTATGATAAACAGGATTATGATAAGGCTCTCAGGTGAACATCAAAATAAATAATTAACCACTTCTTTTTTAGTTGCTATTTAAGCGTAATCAATGAATATCGTAGCGAAAAATGGTGGTCTCTCTATACTTTCACACTGAAGCGAATTGCAACGTAAGTGTTATAATAAAACAACACCGGTATATTTACACTTTTCTTTAAGTAACAGCTTATAGTTCTCCCGTTTAGGCGCATTTGTTTTCCTACTATACCGCATGTGGTAGTTTTTTGAGACGCTAGAACTTAGATTTCTTTATGAAGGCTTATTAAATTAGATTAGTAACTGGTTTTAATTTACTAATCGTTAACGTTTAATTTGTGCTAATGATTAGAACATTACGCTTACAACCACATATAAACTGATTCGTTATTCTGTTAGGTAAATGGGAATGTTTCTCTTTGAAGTTTTTTGGGAAATTTTGAATAGACTTTATATGATAGTTATCTACAATGAAAATTAAGTCAGCTGTACTTCGTAAAACTAATATTGTGGCAAAATTCGCAGCCATGATTCATTTAATTGAATTGTATATTTCACTAAATATTCACTTAAATATCTTTCCAAAATCGTAAAGTCTTATTATTTTATTCAGTAGATAAATAAAACTGTTCCCTTTTTAGATGCGCATATTTGGTAGCTCAGCCCACAGTTTTTCTATCCTCATGTTTGGAACTTCTTGGACCCAGTAAGTTTTCTCCTGCATCATTTGTAGTGCACATCAACTTCATCATATACAGTATTTTGTATTTTAATTTCATCTGATTACTTTCTGTCTTTTTTTAGCAGTTCAGGTTATTAATATGAAATTTGAAGAGGTCTAAAATAATGATTTAAGCAGATAAATATGAATTCGTTTTTTTAATTAGGTTTTTGTCAGTCGTTTACAACTTGTAATATTTTAAGATCAGAAATTTAAATAAAGTTTAACTTACTTATCGAAATCAATTCGGTTAGATTTTAGTGCAAAAACATATCAACATAATGAAGTAAACATACATAAAAAATTCGAAAAGGTTGATTAAGTGATCACAAACATATACGATTCCTAGAACATCAATTAAGTTAATACCAAAAGATCATCAGTTAGTAATTAAGTGTTTATATGATAAATTAATGAACACAGGTTAAGAATAAGATTGTAAATTCCAAAAAAATATAATATGATGCTTCCAAACAAATTAGGTTTGAGAAAACGATCTTATAAAATAATGACCAACTTACTGGGGCAAAGAATACTACTAAACTTCTTTTTTGAACAAACAAATTAAGTTTCAAGCGTTTAGTAGCTCCGGTGAATTTTAAAATGTTAGAGCTTGTTTATTTATTAAATACTGAAAAGTTTTAGTTTTTTTCATGTCACTGTGATGCCTCACACCATTAAAAACCTTTATTCCTTTAAGTGGAAAATGTTTTACGATATGTTCGTAAAATTTAAGACAAAACTTTCTGTCTTATTAGCTTGATTACTTTGAGAGATACACTTAGATCTGAACAAACATAACAAAAGTACTTATAGATCTTCGGTTGTTCCGTATCAAATAACTAACATTATTGCTGTGAATATATTCATCATTTGAACCTGATGTGACAAGGGTTTAACACAGAATTAATCATTACCTTATATTATCTTTAATAATTTTGGTTATTTATCTGAAAATAGCTCAGGCTAGATTGTTTGGCAAGACGTCGGAATAGTTTAAACTGGTTTACTACTATCATTCCAAGTGTAATTTGTAATGCCCTGGTACGGCCGACGGTGGGGAGTGTCATCTCTCTCTCTCTTGAAGTGCTCTCACATGGCCACGTGTATACAGCCACGCCCACGGAAGTCCTACCTTCTTGCGGTGGGTTGTTGTTTACTTAATTTAGAGGATGGTAAGCAAATGTCCAGCGCATTAACCGGGTTAGTGGATACGGAGGATCCACATAGGGGAGTTGAAAAACCTTGATTCCAAACCAATGGTACACATGGGCTACATGATCCCGAAGGAAGAAATGGCCTATGAACCTGTTGTTGGTCACCGGCTACCATGTTACTGCATCTCCTTGAGTTGCTCCACTGCTTTGTGGATCAGACCTTTAGGTCGAAGGCTCTGGGTGTGGTCCCCTAAGAAAATCACCTGCCCTGCTCTGGACACCCGTCAGTATCACAGCCCACGCATAAATTATGTGACTTGTGTGGCACATATGTATTTGGTGCCATATTTTACTAATATTTATGTGTTCATATAAATAAAGAATTTCTACCAAACTGTTCGTTTGAATTCGGATTAATGTTCATATAAATTTTATTGTTTGCAGTATCTGAGTTATTTGGTACATACACGGACCTCCGTTTTATGTAATCTCATTTCATCATTGATGGATAGGACATGCTTTGAATTTTTCCGTTTACCTAACTTGTTTTCACAAAATTAGTTGGTTTTGCTTTTCAATTCTTATGTCGTTATTATTTTGGGCGTTTTTTTCTTTTTAACTTTTCCTTTGTTTTTCATCGACGTTCTAGATAGCTTGGTGCCTCTCTATGAGAAAGTACAAGTTCAACAAGCAATTTTTGATTTCCTTAAGGTAATTTATCAATTGTTCTGTGTATATAGTTGTTGCGAACAGCGAATTCTTGATCAACGTGTATGGTTAGCTTCTGTGTTGTAAGTAAACAGAATAAGATGTGTTATATTTTATCGGTTTGATATTTTTTTATTACGTATAAAGTAAGAATAATAATACCTGGAAACACATCAATCAATTATGAACGTCCGGGTTCAAGCTTGACATAAATGTTAATAATACGTGAACAATTAGGCTGTGGAATAATTTAATTATTTTTACATATCGCTGACTTACTCCATGGAGCAACTTAGTTGTTAGTCTAATCTGAATAGAAAGTTCTGGGAGTTCTATTCAAGACAATTGTTATAAACATATTTACTGTTTGTTTCGTTTTCCAACAGTAAAGATTTTTCTGTTTGGATATGTTTAAAAAAGGGCTTCATCTTACTGTCTCGATTTCACTTTTAGTTCCTAATATGCTAAATGATTTTTTTCTTATTTTAGACCGGAGTTCCTAATCTCATAATGTTTTCACCTGAGCTTGATCATACCATAAAAACTATCGAAGATGGGTGGAAGAAACAGTTAGACTTATTAATACAGCATACTTCGACTGCTCATTCGGACGTTGCACATAATGAATCGGTCAATGAGAACAAAGTGGATATCGAGAAAAAACCACAAAGTTCAACCGATTCACATTTTGATGAAAAGTATAGAATTTCATTGGACATTACCCGAGTTAATACATGTAGTAAGTGTGTAAATAAAGGGATAATCAATATTAAATACTAAATAAACTAACGGATAATTTCGCTTTAATCTAATGTCATATAGAACATTGGCTTATTCGTTAAAGCATTAAATCTTCAGACAGAAACGAACCCCGCTCCATCTATTTTGATTTTGCCATTTAGTTGAAATTATTAATCGTCCCACACCTTCAGAATATGTCTCAAAACAGAGTACATAATCTAATTAAAATAGAAAAAAAAAACTTAATGAATAGTTGCTTTAAAACGTATTTTTCATGTTTACTACTCAATGTAGCCCAACAGATACATAGTCACGTCCATTCGCTCCCAAGTTTAGTATGTTTGGTCCCAATAATTTAGATCTTGTGAACTTTTCTATGATAATTCATTCTTGTATTGGTTGTTCAAATCTTTTCATTAATGTTTAGGACTGCAATTGATCAGTCTCTTATTAACATATAAGCATCCTGTACAGATAGCCTTGATATTGCCTCAAGTATAAGCATTATAAGCAGAGTTGAAGCGAACGGTACTGGGCTCGAGTCCCAGATTAAACACCAACTCTGGGTTGCAAGTTTATCCAGCTGATTAGTCCCAAATAGGACGACATGCGCGTCCTAGATTCCACGGCTAGCCCCCATAATCTTTTTATGATAACTTATAAATTTACATTTAATCTTCCCAAACACTGCCATCTGAAGTCCATTTATTAAACGTACTGTTGTTAAATCATATCATAGAAATCATTCCTATTCTATTGATCTCATCATTATTTTTCTATTTCAGTACAATGCAAAGCTTGCTTTTCACAACCAGCATATACTTTTGGTCAACCAGTTCAATTGGCTGTTTTCTTACGGTATTCTATTATTAATCTCGTTTTTTATATTAATTAATTGGCATTCTGTTGTCTTTTTAACTGTTTTTTAATTAAGTTGATTTTCAGTAGTCTTTAAATTGATCTAGGCGAACAAATACTACTACATTGTGCTTCTAAAAAAGTGCATCAGTTAAACTTTTCTTACTTTATAACAGCTCAACAAGAGGAGTTTATTAGGAACTAATAGTTTATCATAATAAGCAAGAACGTTATCGGGTGTTAAGCGTCCCAGGTGCCGGGTGGATGTCGGATGTTGTTGCCCCGGCAGGTCGATGGAGCTATAGAAGTCAGCGCGCCGCAGACTCGACATTTCGACGGAGAGCGTGGCACAAACTGCAGAGACGAAGAATGTTGCACGGCGAGCATGAACCACCGCAAGAACGACTGCTTTAAAGGAAGGGACGAGTGTGGTGCGTGCTACTTATATTGATATAAGTAGTATATGACGCGAGGCAGGAATGTAATGTCTGGCAGCAAAAGGTGGGGGAAGATCAAGAAAGCAAGAGCGGGAATAGAATGCAATTTGTATGAAAATGCAAGGACAATGAAGTCTGAGGCATCTTGAAACAATTGGTGGACATTTTGCAAATTCACGATTCGATATATGGTTCTCAGATTTTATTGAGATGCTCTGTAGTTTTGTGTTAAGCACTTTCGGTTGTCCCCACCTGACTAAAATTGTATATCTGGTAGAAACTTTTGACGTCTTGTCGATGCATCATCGTAAATCATCGGTTAGACGGTAACATAAGCAATTTTCTTATAAAAAGACCAATATTTGAATATTTTTTTCGATAAATTCTCTAAAGGTTCTACAATTATATATCCAAATTAATAAACTGAAAATTGTCCAGGTTAAGGGCAAAGTACATCGTTTAAAGTTGGAGTATGAACTTAGGTTTGTCAAAAAATAGAATAAAATTGTTCATATTGATATGACTCATATAGACTCTCGATTTGATTCAAATATGATGGGGATCTTTAAACAAATTTCTTATCATAAATCACGAACGGGTCTTGGCTGAACCACCATCAAAAACCAGGAAGCATTAAATCGCCCTCTCATTCTAGTATTAGATTCAGCAGCGCTAAGATCAGTTCATAATTTAAACTGTGAAATTTCTATAATCTTCACAAATTCCCTATACTAATATATATATATATATTATATATATATATATATATATATATATATATTAGCCATGTTAAACCGCATTATCTTCCACTATGACTATTTCAAACAGAAGAATTGCACATAATCGAGTATAGTATCTCATGACCAGTGATAATGATAGTGTTTCCTTTGTTTTAGCCTTCTGCATCTGACTACCTTTGATACTGTTTTGTATTAATTTTGGTTATTTCTTTATTTTCATTTCTAGGTCCTTTGCTCCTTTACCCATCCTTGTTCACCATGTCACTGTGACTTTTTCTAACAAGGTAACCTAAGCAGACTTATCGTCATATCACCTGATCATTTTACCGTGTCCTTTTGGTAATCCTAAACTATATATTATTTTAGTAATTTGCACACAGCAAACTAGTAAATTATTCAATCAAATGTTTTATGCAATTAGTTTACTTAAAACTAGTTATCAATACACAAACCAATGTTAGTTAGAGGACCTATAAAAAGTCAGGTACTATTTGCCAGCTTACTTATTCTGATTTGAAATGGTTTAGCAATGTACATACCTGACCATACATATCAGATTTATTTATTTGAACACAAACATTAGTACAAGGGGGCACCAAATACATATGCACTACACAATAACAATGAGGTCGTGAAGAGATAGAGAATGTAAAGTGCGTATAATAGAAGGAGAACGGCGATGAACAGAAATCAGTGTATGAGAGTGGAATAATGATAATAATAATTGGAAAAGCAGAAGGAATTCTTCAAGTTAAAGAAGTTACATTCACTTTTGTGAAGAAAGTGAAAGCAGAATCACCACTAGCTTCTATTCTGAGCCAACTCGGAGAGGTCAGGTTTCACAAGCATGCAGCAAAACTGCTCTCATCAACACGTCGTAGATCCGACATTTTACAACCAAACTAATATCACAAAGGCGTCAAAGAAGACCCAGATTGCCATAAACCGCTCTGGCCTCCACTATACGTGGATTGATCTCATCACCCACACCACCACCAGAACTTACTCAGCTACTCAGGTACACGGACTTAGTAACCACTTCTATCTGCTCACCACCTAGGGTGAGTGCATGGTCAGGGTCCTATTAGTCTTATAAAAGTACTCTGCACTTGGAAGGTGCAAAGCACAAGCTGTACCTACGGACATTGACTGCCAACCGATTAAGTGCGGATTGTATGGTTTGGGTGTCATCGCACAGTAACACAATACCATTCACATACTCAAGGTCGAGAAGTCTTTCTTCAGGCAACAGATCCACATCACCATTACCTACATCCATCTGAGTTGTTTTCGGAACGTCATGATACGAAAGTTGAAGAGGAATAGTGAGATTGAGCGACTCTGCCTAAACACACTGCTTGGATAGAACAATGGAGAGAGGTTGTTGTATGAGCTCACTCTGCCCGAGGTGTTAGTATATAGTGCCTTCAAGATGTTAATAAACTTCTCAGATACACGCTTCTTCAATAGACAGTCCTAGAGGAGAGTCTTGTTCAGCGAATCGAAGGCGTTCCTAATGTCATGAAACACTAAGATTGTTGGTCTGGGATAATTATGACGGTGTTCTAATATTTGGCGGAGGGTGAATACATGATCACTACATCCTCGACCAGACGGGAAACCAGCATTCTCCTCTCGAGTCAATCCTCCTCGTGTTTTGAACAATCTACGAAGTATGACGAAAGTTAATATGTTGGACGTAATCGGAAGTGGACTTATCCTCCGATAGTTGTTGCAGAAACGACGTGAACCCATCGACTCATTTCATGTTGGAACACTCTCTAATTACCGGAGCTTTGTAAATAATTCAGTCAGCTCGTTAACCAGAAAGTCGCGAAATTTTTCAAAAAAGACTGGAATTTAGTCATTTGGATCTTGTGATTTGTAACGCTTCAAGGGTCGCAGTTCCTTTGACGTAAAGTTCTTATTCGTAAGGCAATGGAGCAACTTAAGGAGATGCAGTCCCATGGTAGCCGGTGACCAGCGATTGCTTCATACGCCATTTGTTCCTTCAGGATACTGTAACACACGTGCACCATTGGTTTGGAATCAGGGTTTTCCAACTCCCCTAGGTGGACTCTTCATGTCCACCAACCAGGTTAAAGCGCCAGACATTCGCTTTTCGTCCACTGAATTCCGTAAACATCAACCCCACCACAAGAAGGCAGTGATTAGAACTTCCCTGTCAATGGCTGTATTAGAGAGAGAGAGCGATCGGCACCAGGGATAATATTGTTCTCTTAAACAATTTTTTATCACTATATTCTACTTGAGTTGTATTTTTTATCTCATGTCAGATAATTTTACATTTATCTCGTTGTTTACTATGAATAAATCAGCAATTATTTAAATAAATGTATTTGTAGGAATCTAAATAATTTTCATTTGTTGTTGCACTTTTAATTGTGTGTGCTAGTTTATATCCAAACTTACTCAGTAAAATTATCATTTTATATCATTTGCTTAGAGTCCTATAACTAGTTAAATGTGGAATGTTTTGCATAATTTTATGGTAACTTGATGAGATGCAGTTCTTCTGTGTTTTTGTGAATACTCTAATTTTTAAGAGATAATCAGTTCTAACACTAGAATATTATACAGTAAACTGCATATTAGCGATAGTCATTCGTTGAGTTCGAATTATGTTTTTTTGTGTTGATCCTGTCAAAAATTATTTAACTTTTATCTCTATTCTAGTGATACTGAAACTTTTGTTATCTATTACAATTAATACTATTAGGTCGAGTGTCCAACGTCTTCACTTAATACACCGCCTAGTACAATAAACAAACCTTTAATAGGAAATTTTTCAACTCATCAGACATCGCAAACATGGTCATCCAAGTTTATTCTGGATTCAAAAGAAAAATTCAAAGTGATTCTGTTATGCCTTAATCCAGACGTACTTGGTAACCAAATTAAAGTAAGCTAGTATGTACATACCAGTTATTTTGTTAGGAATCTTTTATTAGAAACATTAAAAAATTGTATCTCATATTTCGAACTTTTCATGCTTTTGATACTTACTGGACTCAATATAATGTATTCTCAAGCTAAAATCAGACGTATGTGCAATTAGTATGTTGAAACTGGTTACTCAGCTACATCTGAAGAAACTTTTGACTTTCCTATCTTTGTGTCCACGGCCGTACCAGGGCATTCGGGGGCTACGAATATCGACTATACACCGAATACTACAGCAGTTTATTAGTTATAAATTACTCTTGATACGCTTTGAACTGCAAGAAAAAACGCCGTACCCTATTAATTGATAGAGTAACGACTACAACTACGACAGTTTAAACAACTTAATTGAAACGTTATATACAAAAATGGAGAAATTAATTGCATTTCCTTAATTATTAGCAGCTCTATCCAAGATGTAATAGTTGGGAAGTACATCAGAAGTTACTATACGTGGGTTAGTACAAACATTTTTATGATTTCCTTGATTAATTGCCATTTTTTAATTCCGTCAATAAACTGCTGTTCCCACGTCTCAAGGAAAGAAAGCTATAAAAAGTATTTCAACTTTTCCTTTTAACGGATTCCCAGTTTATGGTTCTGTAAATTAAGAAACATTTCTGTTTGACAACCAGTTCTGTTCTTTATTTTTAATAGCGTTGCTCTGCAGAAAAACTACAACTGTATGCTTTAGTTTTAATTTTTCATACAGAGAGAAAATTGCCTTACTAACGATACTAATGTTGTAAGTAATTGACTATCTTTAAGTAATATTTTGTTTTTACCGAGATATAATTTTCAGTTAGATTGATGCAACAAATTGCTTGTTACTGTGTGATTTTAAAGAGAACGTACATGAGATCTTAAAACTTTTGAATCTCTATGTCTTTTATAGTGATTACATTTTAAAAAATAGAGCCATGTTACAATAAAGGAACAAATACATTTATTCGTGATTTCCATTTATATCGATTGTTTACTCCGTAAAATGTGATTGACTTTTAATAAGCTCTCTCTTTTTCACTAGGTTGATTCAATTCATTTGTGTTTATCACCTCCTATGGTTAATTGTCATAAAGATATTGATGAATTAATATTGTGTACAGTTTCATGGCAATGGAATACAAAATCAGATTATCATCCTTACGTAAGTGGTCGTAAAACTATTGGTCATAAACATCATAATCTAAAGAAACAGCATGATGTGTTACATGATAATGTGAATACCATTAGTAATAATAATTGTGGTTTATGGTGCAAAGAGGTTGTTCTTTCAGTGCCAGAACGTCGAATGCAAAAAAACCCTATTAAAATTGAATCCAATGGATTCATAATTAATCATGGATTTCCTAACCTTCCACCAGACTGGGATATTATCGACAGTCGAATTCGAACAGAGTAAGTTTTACGTGCTCCTAATTAATTACTTAACGCATAATTGATAAATTCACATCATGGAATAGTTAAGTTATATTATAAGAAATCGACCTTGTCACAAAATACTGGCAATTTTATTTACTATCTAGATAGCCATTTTTCGATTCTAATAGTTGCTTTGAAATGCACCTTCAAACAAAGTTTCGTTTTCTTCTAGTCGATGTTTAAATGTGTCTTGTTTACGATTCATGCGCAACTGGCACTAATATATAATGGCAAAGTCTGTGAATTTTTTTATCATTCAAGAAATACCCAGTTTTGATGTGAAGTTGGTTGTAAAACATTCAGTTTATACTGATCTGATCTACTAATAACACTTGCCTCTCCATCATTGAATTATTTTGTTTAATTGAACTTCAGTTGTGGAATTTATGCTTTAGAATTAATTGGATTTTTCGAATTCTAGATTTTGAGCGGTTACACATTAGCTCATAATTCTTGGCTTTAAAACATCTGTTCTATTTGGTTGTGTCAGTCATCAATGTATATCAGTCTAAGTCTGTACATCTCTCAGCACAATAAAAAAGGAAGCCCTAACGCTAATTAACGGATCGGAATTCCTATCAACCCAAATATGAGAAATAATGGAGTAAATAAGATCGTAGAACTAAAATCACAGAAGGACATTAAACTCGAAATGTTAAGAGAAATGGGGAATAATACATTTCCAACGCCGTGAATGATTATGGGGCATTTTACCCAACGTCTCCAACTTTCATTTCTTTGATTAATGCACATAAATTGCGATAAAACCAAATACCGAAAATAGACTCCCACACGGCAATAAAATTGTTAAGAAAAAACAAAACGGAGGAATGGGGAGTATAGTCAAAGAGTAATGAAAAATTGAGCAAGGTAAATGAACGAAATTCTTATCAGCTAACAATATAACTGAGAAAGATTTTTTCCGTTAAAGAAGCTCACCTAACTTTCACGGGGAATTTGACAGAGTCCTACGTCAGGATCATCATCGGCTTCGATTTTGACCCACATCTGATGCCTAAAACCACTGAGTTTCACTATCGCACCCCAACCAGCGAGTTGTGATAAACCGACAGATCCCATTCTTATACGGTTCTCTCTCATAACTCAGTCGTGTATTACAAACTGACCACCTCTCCGCTTCTTCTAACCATTCCGAAAGTCGATAAATTCGCTGGGACGACATTCTTAGCACATATCCAAGCCATCAAAGCCGGTGTTTCAAGACAATCGCACTAATTAAGTTATCGTTGCTATACCTGGACATTACTACTAGACGTCAACAGTTCTTCACAGACGACGTTGATTGAATACAGTCACCAAATGTCTTCAACTCAGAGGCCGGCTCCCCTAGCATAAAACTAACTTGGTCTCACCGAGATGTAAACACAACGTTTTACAGTCAGACTAATATCATTTGCGATTGATGAACGACCTTCAATACGAAGCTAAAATTCACCAACAGCTAGTAACCTTATGCCTTAATTCAGTTTGAAATGATTGGGATTTTCCCATTGTTGAATTTCGGACTGAAATTTAATCAGTCTTGGTTGACATATGTCCATTGCTTTGATATACCCATTATGACACAAGTTAATATAAAATAGATGATATGTGGCCGGCAATAGATAACGCGGTGGCCTTCCAAGCGAACGTCAACTCAGAGATGCAGGTACGTCCAGACGACGAGTCCTGAATAGGACGAAAAATGCATCTTCGATCTCACTGCCAGTCATATCTCATGTATTCTACAATAACTTTATGGTTGGCTATTATATCGTTGTCTTCCCGCTTCTAACTTTCTTCTAACCTATTTCTATACTAGTCAGTATTGGATGTCGAGGTAGGTGAGTGATTAGGCTGGCGTAGTGTCCCAACCGTCTCTGTCGACGAAGGTTTATAACTTTATCAATTGACTAGTATATTTCATCCAAAGCCCTACGTCTTACTCCAACAACTTCCACTTTCACAATACATGAGCAGTACTTCGAATACACCTATAGTTAAATAATTTCAAGTGACACTTGTTTTATACTTGTACAAGTCATGTTTCTTAGCCGCACAGCAATATAGAATGGACGTCTGCTCACTGTAATCGCCGCTTGATAAACAGACGAACATATTTCCTTCATGATTGTTTATTTGTTCAACAACTAAGGAGTATCAACTCAAGTAGGTATATGCTGTATGCCAACAGACATCGGATATAGTTGGCTCAGCAGGTCGCTGGAGCTCAGGAGTCAGACTTGACAGATGCTGGGCGGACATCGTGTTGGATGGCTCGGTAGTTCGACATTACTACGGAGATCAGCGCGCCGGCTGACTTGACATTTTGACGGAGAGCGTGACACTAACTACGACAAAGAAGAAAGTGGTACGGCAAGCAGAACAACCACAAGAGCAACTGCCAAAATGGAAAACGAGTGTGTCGGCAGACATAAGTATTGTGTAACACCAATCAGAAGTGGAATGCCTGGCAGCAGAAGGTTGAAAAGATCGAATTGAAGAGAACGGGAATGTAAACAGAGATTTATTGTATTAGCAATGAAGGAACGATGAAGTTTGAAATAATTGATGGAAGGTTTGTAAATGGATTACTCAATATATCGTTTTTCACATTTTACGACAGAACTCTGTAATATTGCATTTAATAATAAATTGGTCTTCCCTACCTTACTGTTTGTTCACTACTGGTACATACAATATTCTTTGTTATGTTTTCCTTTGAGCGATTACAGATTTACTGCATTATTCAGTGATTAACATTCATTGCATTTTTCACCTGTTCAAGTTGTTTACAATATTTAATTACGTATTATATAGGATGCATCATCCATCTTCCGGTTTAGAAATTACTATGCCAGAGAATGTTTGTATACTGGCGAATGAAATTTCTCAAATAAAGTTAACTATTCGCAATCCAACACTAAGTGACTGTACTAAACTTAAGTGAGTTTTACTTTTAAGTGTATTCAAATAACTACCTATCTGTTTACCAAATTTTTATTCAACAAATATCCATAAGCACAATTTTAGATCATTTTCATTTGTCATAAACCTATCGTATTGCCGTGGTTGATGTCTTTTCCTTATTTATGAGATTCAAACTCATTTGTATTGGTTTTTTATATAATTTGTTTATAACATAAAACTAATATACCTGAACAGCAAATCGCTTGTCGATTGTTTTTTAGATTGTCAAATGAATTTTATGTGAAGAATTAATTCAAAATAATGATTATATAGAATAGCATATTTGTCATATGGTGATTTCGTAGATTACAATTCCAGTTATTGTATACTTAATCTTACAGTTGCCGATATCCTCAGTGACCATTCATCATCATTTGTTTCTTTGTGCATTATCGAAAGCTAAAATATGTACAAATACTTAACTTTTATATCTAACCGAAATTGAATAATCTTTGCAATACATAGGTTTCTTAGACCTTTTAATGTATTCGTAGTCCTAATACACAAGCGTTTAGTTTTTGAAAGGCCAACATTTCTTTTCAAATGAGAAGCATTTTTGTGTTTTATACCAAGTTTTTCTAAACCCACGTATGTGTTCACTAACACGTAGTATTATAATTCTTGGTAATAGTGTCCAATCATATTTTTTTATTGAACGTTTATTGTTTTGGCAGTCATAACTCAGTAATTTCTAACTGGTGATCAACCGTTTGATCACGGATTAAAACAAACTTTTTCGCGCCATCATTCTGAACGTATATATGGTTTCATTTACATTACGTTAACCTATTTTAGTTTTGAATCAATTATTTTGTATTACGTCTCCGTTTCATGATTATCTTTTTCAAATTTCGTTTTGGCTCAATATTGACAAGGATGTTTTCAGTGATGTTAAATGTCTTCTATTTTATTGTGCTAAAGTTTGGTAGTTACATAAGTCTTGTCACTTTTGTCTTTCATTGACTTAGTTTTATACTTCCGTCACTTAAGCTATTCTTATAAACGTATCAGTTGTTATTGAAATAAAAAATCATTAGTTTGTTGTTGTTTAATAAAATTTATGTCTCTACTATTGCAACCTTTAAAATATTCTGGAAACAGTATCCCTTATTAGAACGTTTTTGCAAATATGATTGAGTTTAGTTGTATTTGATGTGAAATTTTTCAATCTTAACGTGACTTGAAACCTCAACGTTTTTTACAGAATATCTGTAACTTAAGTTGTTTGTTTTTGTATTCGTAGTTTAACTGTCCGTTTAATTCCGAGAGAAAAAGATTCAACCGAATTTTCTGACAATGCTAGTAATACTTCTACCACTGTATCAACCACAACAATGATTACAAATCCAACTGTAATAGACAATTATATAATAGTCGGCAGTTCATCTGAATTAATATCTCATATATCAGCTAAAAATATTAATTCATCTCAAAATCAAGTAGTGCGTATTTTACAAAGAAGTTAGACGATATCCCGTCAAATCAATCTATATCTGTGACAATTTCATTATGTTGTTCATCTCCTTCGTTAGTTTCTAATAATAATCAAACACTTTCATGTTATTTGACTTTCTCTACTAAAATTTTACCTTGTGAATATCCCGATTATTTATTATCATTATCGGATTCATTAACAACAGAAACAGCACTAGTATATAATGTTATACATGAATCTGTGAAATCTAATAACATGGAGCTGTCGAATATAAATAATCATTTAGTTCAAAATATAATGGACCAAAATGCAATGGTAATTCAATGTACTCAGAATATTGAAACTAATATAACTATCTTGTCACCATTTGAATTAGACTATAAACTGCTTTCCTTAACAGTAAGTTTTGTTTTATTATTAGTAGTATTATCACAGTTCTTTTAAATTAGTTTGCAATTTACACCACACTAGAAATGATTATGCTGTACGTTTCTGCTGATTTTACTGTATATGTATCTGTTTGATTTCGAAACGAGGTAAATCTATTGTATCTATAAAAACGTGATCAGATTAGAACTTGATTCGATTTGGGAAATAAATAATACAACACAGAAATCCCTATTGGCATTCAGTCATAGCCACTCTCATTGATCTGAGTGTGATATATGAGTTCTTGTAACACTATTTGACAGTGAACAACTTATCTGATAAATACTATACTCTTAATCCAGTGATTCTCAATTGTTATAAGCCTGATAACAGGGTATTTAAAGTAGTATTGACTCAGAATATCCATATTTCCGATTGTCATTCCGGTTTTATTGTCTAACCTATTTAATTGATGTGAACAAATATAAATCAGCAGTTTAAAATTCCCCATAGCTTATTCAGAAATGAAGAATATTTGATCGAACAATTGTTTTCAATAACTTCATTATCAGGTTCTACAGTTATAAATCCATAATTATTACATTTTACTAAGGCCAAAATAAGGCATGTATTAATAAGTTCGACAATCCTATATGTTGAAAATAGTGAACGTTTGCGTCTGTTATGACATAACTACTTCAAAATTGTGTTATTTGTAAATTAGAAACGTCCTTTAATAAAAATTATGATCATTTGTCGTAAAGTGTCAAGTCACAATCAGTATAATAGTAATATAGCAAAAATGAAAATGCAAAAAATCATGTGAATAAAATGCATAGTAAAAGGATTTCCATTTTTCAGTATTACTATTATTACTATTATCATTATTACATCAGTTAAATATAAATCGCACAATACTTTTAGATAAAGTACTTCACTTTATTTTTCTAAGCATCTTTAAAATCACGAACACGCTCGGAATTCGTTTCTGAGCGCCAAAATTCAGAAAGTTGTTTTAGAAGCAATCAACATGAATGCTTTATTTGACAAAAGAAAAAATAACTGGTTTAACGGATTCACTTCATTATTTATTTTTATCGATTGATTATTAACATTGACTTGATGCGGAATCGATTGATCCTTACTTCATCTCCATTTTTTAAATTTCGATCTCACTCGCCTCCAGTGTCACCATTAAGTTTGTCCTGATAACTAGAGTAGGGGTCAACCTGATGATGCCTCATTCGGTTATTTATACGCTAATAATTTAAGTAATAAATATTAAAAACATAAATGCTATAACTATCTCCGGTGTTTTTTTTTCTATTTCATATTTTAGCAACATCCTATTAAAAGTCTTATAGTTAATGACGCGTTTTTGTTATTGTTCAAGTTAACCAATACAGCTGATTGTGAACTGGAAATACATGATATACAGTTGGAAGTGGTAAGTTGATGTTTATATATATATATATATATATATATATATATATATATATATATATATATATATATATATATATATATATGTTTGTTGGGCTCCGCGCGACTATCGTAATCAACGGTTGGAGACTGGGTGACATGGCTCAAAATCGATCACGATGACGTAGGTGTATGCTCTCTTTGTGTTCCCTTAAACGTGAGACTAAAGTTACTGTATGTCTTTCTTTCCACGAACAAATTCGTTCTCCCCGTATTATATCCTTATACGCAATTTTTTTTATGTATTACTACCATTGAAGTACCCGACCGTCGCTGCTACCTTGACGTGATAGCCAGGTTCGCCTACCTTAATGAACCAATCGAGCTATACTGGCTGGAGCAATCATTCCTCAAGGTCAGAAGGCGAAGTCGTACTGCTGACTATACAGAGGTGTGACGGCACTAAGGTATCTCCTTCAGACAACCAGCATAGCAGGGATGCTACCTTCCCACAAAGGAATAGTAGGGTTAGAAAAGGTTGACCCTATAAATGCACACCTCGCCTTATCCCACAGTTTTCCGTCTCCGGTGGTAAGGTCCCAACAAGTACGGAGCTAACATGAAAACTACTCACAAAAAGGTCGTGTGTGACCGACCTCAAGCAGTTGTCCCTTGGGCACTGCGGTCATGATCTCAGGTCTCTAGGACCAACCCTAATCTAATTTCCTTTTCAGGTACCTCTAGAAGAACCCTTCTACGTTGCGGGCAACTGGGAAGTAATAAACACCCCCACACCTCTAACAGCGCTCAAGACTCACCTTTGAAGTAAACCCTCAAATGCCATGGTTCGGCCGATGATCAGCTCTCCCTCTCGAAATGCTCTCATATGGCCACGTGCATACAACGACTGCCACGGAAGTCTTACTCACTGCCTTCTTGCTTCTGGGATGTTTTTACGAAATTGAGAGGACGGAAAGCAAATGTCCAGCGCATTAACCGGGTTAGTAGACACGGACGTTTGGAAACCCTGATTCCAAACCAATGGTACACATGGGCTACAGTATCCTGAACAAATGGCCTATGAACCTATTGTTGGTCACCGGCTACCATGTTACTGCATCTCCTTGAGTTGCTCCACTGCTTTGTGGATCAGACCTTTAGGTCGAAGGCTCTGTTTTAGCTGACTGAATGATGTAACGCTTGTTTTGTAATGAATGTCTCTTCATCATATGTGATGTATATTCTTCAGAAGTGAACATTTAAGCACTGTGTCATATATGAACAGATTTATATGCATATTCAATGTCTTAATAATTATTTTCATGGGTCTTCCTAATACTTTCATTTACATAAATTATATTTTAGGCTAATGAGATATCGTGTGGAAGTGACTCCCATAATACATGCATCAAAAACTGTAAGTTTAAGTAACTGTCTTTGTAAATTTTTATTTTTTATTAATAACTAAACTTGATTTTCTTTATACAATTTATGATCATTATATACCAGTATGTTTATTTCTTTCATGTGTGCAACATTTAAATTCGATACTTCATGTTTGAATGGTTGTTCAATGAATCAGTAAATAATTTCAACACCTTTCAGTGCCATTCATTTTTCCTGTATATACCTCTCATTTGTATACTTACTAGGAAAACAAATTGAATCTGTTTGTAGTGTTCGGAAAATAAAAGATAATAAAATATTTGAAAGTTAAACAACAACTATTAATTATCCGATATGTCCTGATTGACAATATACTCCAACCTAATGTTATGTAACCGATGAGCACGAAACTACCTTACGTAAAACAAACCACAAAGACTTGTATTCTTTTTCGAAAGATAAAAATGACGATTTATAAGTTTCTTTCAAATCCCCTATGTGTATTTTTAGCGATGTATAATTATCGCAGCGTTATCAAAATTGTGTAAGTCTATGGGATGTCTATAAAAACAGCTAAAAGTCGACATTTCGTTTGTGTTATAGTCCAATGCCACCAATCAGAAGCAGCGAATTAGCGATCGGATCAAGGACGCGTGAAACACGTGCGAGCAGCCTAGAGTTCTGACTGTTCCTGCTTTCCACCTAGCCCAGCCAGTTAAGTCCAGAATGCCAATCTTAGCCCCTGTAATATGAATCATTATATTTCAAACATACTTAGTTTATATACCAATCAAACAGACCACAAGGCAGCATTAAAAAAGAAAATAACATTTGTACAAAATTTGTCCAAATGTGTCTGTGAATGTGTGAGGCAGTGACTAATAGACAGGGCATAATTCAAGAATGGTAAAACGTATAATGATAATTCATAGGTCAAAATAAAGTTTATAACAAAAGGAATATGAATATGTAGTTTAGTTATTTAACAATTATACGATAAAAATATACGTTTAGTATTGGTCCATAAAAGGATTCCAAAGTTACCATTCATTATGTTTATCGGGACCTAACAGTTTGTAACAATATATTTTTAGAAATTTTTATCCCGGGTTTTAGCAAAGGAATTATAAAATTAATGATCTCATTAGTAATAATGAGTATCAGTGAAGCTGCGGTACGTAATGCGATAGTACGGAAACTGAAGAAAATACGTTTCTTCGGATTTATTTTAAATGATCTAAACACCAGTTAGTCGTCTCCCTGTTGTTTAAATCTTTAAAACCGTTTTTAATTATATGAACAAAATAGAGATATTTAATTAATTCATTGATAAACTCAAATGTACAAAAAAATCACCCACTGTTCTAACTGATTTTCTGTTTATCTGTTGACTGAATACCACTCAATATACGTAGTAATGACATTTATTTATTCTTTCAATCATTTTATTTATAATGAGTTAAATTTTCTATTGGTATAACAACAATTCATTAAAATCATTCTTTTTTTTTCTCATTTTAGTAATTATGCAATCCTCAGAAAGTTGTACTGAATGTCACATGTTATTATTAAGAGAAACAATGAACTCACTCGAAACAATAAATCTAGGTTATATTACTGTTCATTGGTCACGGTCAGTGTATAATATTAATATTATATATATTTCTGTTACTGTGGAAATAGAATAAGTCGACCGATAGCTAACATCTGCCAACAGCACAAAAGTAGAAATTGTACACCACTTACCAAACATATGCTTAAAAAATGTAACACACTTATCATTAGTAAAGAGATGAGTAATCTATAATCTCAGTGAATGTACAAATATTCATTATGAACTTATACATTTTAAAATCGAATAAAAGCAAACCTAGGTATTATATGAAGTTTCGAGTAATATTCTTAGTAAAATGCATAAAATGTTCTTTAATAAACCGCCTGATTTGTTAATCTTCGGTGTCTCAGTAACATTACCAAAGTAGATTATCGTTCTTCTAAATAATTTTCGAAATTCTTTCAGATTGTTCCCAAATACATTTATTTAATGTTGCTAAATCAGAATTTTGAATATTCTTGTGCAGCGTACTAAGAAACCAATAATCATTATATCTTTTTTAATTTTCAGAATTCAGTTTTCTTAGTATGACAACTAAATAGTGAACATAATGTTCATTATCATACTTGGCCTCCTTAATAATACCCTTCTTATTTGCCCTGTAGAGTTTGGTTATATCAGGTTGTTTTTTACCTCCTTTTACCTAGTTGGATTAAAACTTAATACTGTCAATGTCAGTGTCCCTTTTGCTAAATAGAAGAGGATTTGTAGTTTTTTGTTGTAGGAATTAAGTGTTCAGTCCCCATAAACTAGACCTTCATATAATTTTAGAAGCGATGCATATTTCATGTTTATTTAATAACTTATCGTTCTCTGTATCTTGTTGAATACCTCTATCAATGCTTTTGCTGTCAATGTGATGAAAAATGTATACACCTTGTTTTCAGAATATATTTATTCTAACCGAATTTACAATAAATTCATTTTCGCGTATATTCATACAACTTATGTTCAGTTTTATGCAATATGTGTTGAGTCATCCAGACTTAGACTAAGTGGTAGGTGAAAAAATACTTACGGACTCACGCTACTGGTTGAAAATATTGCTTCATTTTTCGAGAGAAAAAGATATATATTTATGTTTGAGTTGTAAAGGTACTCTTGATTTGGTTAGCCTTTAAAAGCTTCATACTCTTAATTTTCTCACTCAAGTATCCGTTTTAGACATGCATATAGGAATCGTTTATATCAGTAGCAAACTCAGACAACCTCAGTACATACTGGTATGTTTATTAAATTGAAGTAGAATGAATGTTTCTAGATAACCCATTTATTCTCTCTCCCCCTCTTTCTATAGTGTGTCAACACGTGATCATGATAATATGAAACCGTATATTGCAACGACAAAATTCACCTTACCGACTATTCCGGTTTTATCTTTACCTATTCAAATTAGTGCTGAACTTCCAGCTTATGGTGTTATGCTCACTCCATTTCCAATCACATTTATTTTATCTAACAAAACTATTTATCCACAGGTATTTTGAAAATTAAATTAATTTTTTTACCATGTACATAATATTCATTTAAATGTAATTTATAATAGTTATTCATCTAAAGACAATAAATTTGCCAGTAAATCTACTTTGTCGGATGACATACATATACAGTCAAGGCGGTAATTTGATCTACACATATTTCAACATAAATTTATTTAAAGGGACTTCGATAAACAGTGTTTTATCAACATTATTCTGGACATAACATGTTGTCGTTTGTAATTCTAGCGTTAAATTATTTCTGTATTACTCCATTACTTACAACTGTTTTAATTCAGGCATGATTGCCCCCCCCCAAATGCCCTGGTATGGCTGAGAATGGGGTGGGCCCGCCCTCCCTCGCGAAATGTTCTCACACGGCCACGCGTATACAGCCTCTGCCAGGGAAGTTCTACTCACCGCTTTCTTGTGGCGGGGGTGTTGTTTACGAAATTGAGAGGACGAAAAGCGAATGTCCGGCGCTTTAACCGGATTCCAAAACAATGGTGCACTTGGATTCCAGTATCCTGAGGGAACAAATGGCGTATGAATCAATCGTTGGTCACCGGCTACCATGAGACTGCATCTCCTCACGATGCTTCACTGCCTTGTGGGTTAGACCTTTAGAACAAAGGCTCGGGGAGTGGCCCCCTAAGAAAACCACCTGCTTCGGTCTGGCACCCGGGCAGTATCACGGCCCCCACACAAATCGGATAATATTTGTGGTGCATATCTATTTGGTGCCTCCTTGTGCCAATGTTTATGTGTTTAAATTAATAATAAATAAATGATTGCTGACTAGAGTTTCAGCGTAGCTTTTACTTCACTCTATTCCAAACCATCTAGTTCACAGTTTATACTTACTCTCCTATCTCTTAAAAACAAGTTGTACACAAACATGTTTCTGTTATGGAAGTTAGATTGGGATTTCATTGTTTACTAGTGTTGTTTAATTTCTTGTGTGAAGTATTCAATGAATACGTTGAAACAAACAAAAACTGTATATGAAAGAAATTCATTTGTATCTGTTGTTTATTTTATAAAACTGAGAACAACTGTCTTTTCGATAGAATCGCCCATGACATATGAGCAACTTGATCCAACTAAAATAGTTTCGTAGTTAATAGTGGTGATTTTATTGTGTAAATATAGAAATGATATCTATGGAATAATCATCCAAAATATGCCATGTTTAAACACAGACTACTTATATGAAATAAGTAGTAAGAATCATAAACCAATTTTTTAAGATATTTGTAAGATATATGTAAAATATGTATACCTTTTGTCACTCATGATTAATTTTATAGAACTCCCTTGATTCGGAGTTTCAATATGAATTTTATTACCGCTTAAATATAAGTGTAAAGCTGTTATCAGGTTTCATATATGTTGAGGTATTTACCGCTATATACTTGTCAAAGTATGTATTTCCACCGTATACGAAACAACAGTAAATTGCTCAGTTTTAATTCTGTTTAGTTTTATCCCAACACTCAAAAAACTGTAAATTTCGCCTTACATATATATAAAGACTAAATTTATTCTTATCTTGATGATGGAGCAGATTTGTAGCTGAGGTTAATCATTTTTGTGAAATTTCGTTCTCTGAACTGGATGGTTTAATCGTATAGCCTTCATTTTTCTTCTTTACATCATCAGCATAAACTTCAGGTAGAAGTAAGGTACTCTCCACGTAAAACTAATAGCTCCTCCTGTCGACTTCGAAAAGCCCACTTTTCTCTGAATTTCATGCTGATGATGTTTAGTAGAACAATAGAAGCTTTTTCGTTTATAACATCTAGCCCAAAGAATGAAACTTCAAGATAATCTTGATGTACTGTTACTTGTGACATTCACTTCAAAGAAGAAATTAACAAAGTATTAATTCACTTCACTTTAAAATCATGAAGATAATTTCGTAAATGTAGCCGTGTCAGTGAGTCGGACCACCCAACTGGCTATAGATATTCCTCAATCTAATCGATGGGTTCTAAAGATATCGGGCGAAATTGTTCAACTCTTCAGTGTAATACATGAACGTACAATTAACAGCTAATTTCTTTTTCGTGAAAAGAACGAATCGAACGAATAAATTTTCTTTCAATTAGTTTTTCATCGTGGCTCTACATTAATATACATTTTAAGATTTACAACAACGAAATAATACTCATGGAGTAACTACGTTACGTAACAATTGAAAATAAATTTCTTCGCTCGATTTGTTAAAATGGGGATTTTCACTGTAATTTCTGTTCGTTCCTTTTTCATTCTTGAGTTCCTCACTTTTTTATTCACTAAACTAGGAGGCTGTTTTTCAATTAGAATCGATTCATGGTTTTATGTTTTCTGGTCAACAAAAGCTGAAGTTACGATTACTGCCTGACTCACCGCACTACTTGAATTATACACTACTTCCATTGGTGTCTGGAAATTTGAAGTTGCCTCGGTAATTTTAATTACTACTTTCCATATTGGTTGAAAATAATAATAGATTACTTTCGAAGTGTTCTATATGTACATTCATAAATGTTCTTTATCATTGCTAAAGTGTACTAAATTATTCTATGAAACTTTGTATATTGCTTTTTTGTAATGGTGTTACATCGTAGACATTTTGGTAAGACAATTTCTTTCTTTATTGTTTATTATTTAAGAGGCGAAATATGACATTTTTCCTGTACAATATATTGTAGTTCATTTTATCTAAAACATATATGTGTATCAATTCCTAGAATGGGAATGCACTTTTTTAAAATTTCCTATTGATCATAATACTTCATTTACTCCAATAATATGTAGTCTATCTAATAAATACTTTCGAAATCGAATCCCTACTATCGTCGCAGCTAAACCAACGACCCATTGGTTAAAAGTAAGTTCATTGGGCCGTCGCGTTGTATAGATTCCGTTAACTTAAGTGTTCAAAATATCTAACACTATGATCTTGTAGGTTAGTAGTCAAGGTTTCTATACACCACAATCTTTACCTGATATCATGTATTTAGATGAGACGTACCTAAAAACCATGAACCTGGGTTTTAAACTAGGTGTCGACCATCAAGAAGGCATAGCTGCAGTCTTGATGCTGCTAAAGTTCCTCGTCAATATTCAAACTTGTCTCATATGTATTTCCGTGGACTCATTTGGGCTATTACTCACCTCTTGTAGAATTAAAAATATTACTCTACTTGAGCATCTGATTGATATTAAACAGTATCAGACTGTTTAGTCCCTGGTTCCAATCTGATTTTCCATTTTCCAATCCATGTTAACCAAGCAAGACGTCTGTCTATCCATATGATTTTACGGTCGAAGTGACCTGCTATTTTAGCTATTTGTCTTGAAAAACTTTATGCTTCACTTCATTTTTTCATGTTCTTTCAATATAATTGGAATCGAATAGTGTTAGTTCAGGAAACAGTAAATTGTTATTCATTGTTTCACTAAATTACCAAAATATCATACCGTCATTTCTTTGTGTTCAGTGTCTATCAGGATGCGGTTATGCACTAAGATTATGAGTCTTAAATAATACTTTTTTCGGTTACATTATTAGTGTAATACTCTGACTATAAAAATTTTTCATAGTAATAATGCCCTTCGAAAATAAGCCTATACTTCACTCGTTCGTTTATTTTAAGCCCAGTGCCTAAAGTCATATGTGGTAAATAAGTTACAGGTATCACAACATCTTTGAGTTATGTACACCCGTTTAGTATGCCCTAACTAGTACAAAAAAATTTGCGTATTCCTTAGTTTCCAATGAATTTCCTACCGATGCCAGTTTTTTTCACCTTGGTTTCTCACAAAATTACATTCAAAATCTTTTCTATATGTAATACCTTATGCGTTCTTATTTGACTAAATGATGTTTATTATTGAAATTTTTTAACAGTTTACATGTTATGTTAGAACGTTATGCTACGTTAACATCAAACACGCAAAATGATCAACCCGATATACACATACAATTAGAAGAAAATCTTCTACGACAAGTTCCAACACATCTTATAGTAATTGTAGGTTGTTATTATTATTGTCTTCATCATATACTCTTTTGTTTATTAATTTATTTTTTTCATAATGAAAATTTTCCAATGTACTTCCACGAGTTTTTCGTAGCTGAATTTTCTCTGTGTTCTGAGGCTACATTATTTTTTCAGAAGATGAAGAAGCCACAAAAATGTGATAATCTATTCTAAAAAGCCTGTTTAATTAGATCACAGATACAAATTATTTTTTGTGAATTGTTTTGATCATTTGCACTTTAAACTAATTCTTAAATAAATCCTTACCTTAATGAATTTGACTTGTACAACCATTGAAAATTTCTCAATTTACTCATTCTCCAGATACTTGGATATCAGCCGCACTCTAAGTTTGAGTGGTTATGTTACTACTCTGTTTGTTCGAACCAGAAACTTGGTGGCAAAAAGTCAAACTCCTTTACCATCAAGCCATCTCTCTTCAGGGTATCTTTAAATACCTGTTATTTGCAGCTGACATACAGTAGTATCCAACACTGATTATATATAAATTCAAAAACAGAATATTTGAGCGAACAATTGCTTTCAACAACTTCATCACCAGACTCTACAGTTATAAGTTCACAATTATTGCCAAAATAAGGCATGCATCAATGAATTTGAGAATATCACACATCAAAAATGGTGAATGATTGCATCTGTTACGAAATAATTAGTTAAAAATGGTGTTATTTATAAGTGTCATTTAATAAAGGTCAGAATGATTTGTAGTAAAGTGTCAAGTCACAATCAGTACAATAGTCTATATTCTATATCTACCAAGTGAGGAAGAATGACCCTAATAAACGATTTAGTGATTGCTTAACCCAACCATTCTGGTACCTGTATCCAGAAGAAGTATATCCAGCCTCTATGCTTGGCTTGGTCTACGACTGGATCACTAGATACATAAACTAGATATTATGAACCTCTTATTCCCTCTACCAATTTCTTTAACATGTATACCTTTCTTAATCTACACGTCCGTCTTTCCCAATCCTCATGAATTCATTTTTGAAGTACTTATCTTGATAACACCTTTCTTATTACTTAGTATAGTCACACAACGTTACTAATATTATCATTACTATTATTACCTTGATTAACAAGATGAACTTCTCCTACTATGCATTTTATTCATACGATTTTTATTCTATTATTATATGACTATTGTACTGAATATGATTTGACACTTTACTACAAATCATTCTGACCTTTATTAAGTGATACTTATAAACAACACCATTTTTAGCATATGATATTATCAAATTCATTAATACATCCCTAATTGTGAACTTATAACTATAGGGTTTGATGATGAAGTTGTTGAAAACAATTGTTCGCTCAAATATTCTTTGAATTTGAATATATATATATTCTCTACGAAAGAAAGTTGCTTAGGAAGTAAGGCTAACAAGCTCTAACATTATAGACTCATAAATTCCACGAATAAGTCATCATAATTATATTCATCCGTCAGTTTGAATTTGTCATAACAACAAGTATGGTGCAAAATGTTTGGGAAAATATTAATTAATTCCATTTAGCTATTGGATGATTTGATAATAATTGCAAGCATAATTCATGATAAATTTAACCTGTATATTTCGAATGTTTACCGTTGAACTATAATTCAAACTATAATTTCGTATATTCAGAAACGAGAATAATTGTGAACTACTGTGGCAACCTAAAGTTAACGGTTATTTCTTTTTTATCTGTAAATCTGGTCTTAGACACTTAATTGCAAATTTAAGAATGATAACGTAAACATTTCGACACGTCCTCATACTATATTTTATACGGCAGTTATCAAGTAACTTAAAGTATCTTTTCTCCTTGTGGATTGTGTTTACTGAATGTATTCATCCAATTTAAATCAGATCTAGCTTTATTCATCTGTGAATTATATTTGTTTCATCGTGTACATTAAACTCACAGAACACTGACAAAGCATAAACGTTTTTCACTTGAGAAATTTATAATACGTTTTGATTAAAGAGGATTAATATTTCGATAAGTTAGACTATTTAATAATTTCATATTTTGTAAAATTTAGATCATTTTAACATTTTAGTTTATAAAAGCTACTTCGTAATGCGAAATTTATTACCAACCAAATTGTTTTACACTTGAATAAATCTACAACTGTTGCTTTAATATAAAATTTACATAATTCATCCCATGACGGTAGTGTTAGTATTCATTATTATTCTAGTTAGATGTTAAAAATTGACACCATGTATTGTTTTTCTTTCATTCTGCTTTGTTCTATTATTCCCAGTTCGTATTAAAATAACAACTCGTCTTTTCTTCTCATCTATAATACTAGTTTATATCATATATAGTGTTTTGTGTTGTGAATTTGTCAATAATAATTCATATTTTGATGCCAAACATGTTCTCTATTATAAGTTAGATAATCAAACTCATTATAAATAAATAATATATTTGTAAAATCCCAATGAGTAGAAAATTAGATTTTCTGACGTTTCGTGACTTAGTGTAAGTCACTTCCAAGTTTAAACTTGGATTAATTTTAATTTGGTTATTTATTCTCTGAAGAATTGACTTACACTAAGTCACGAAACGTCGGAAAATCTAATTTTCTACTCATTGGGATTTTACAAATATATTATTTATTTATAACAATCTACCCAATGCTCAATTTATTCGAAATTGTCAAACCAAACCTTGGTAATGATACATACAAATCAAACTCATTGTTAATGATTTTTATTGTCACTCAATCATCGTTAGTTGTTTTTTTTCTTTTTTATACATCCGACTATCCTAGATGTTTGTCCGTTTGTAATTTAAATACGTGTATAGAATATCTAAACATGTTGCATATGGTTGTACGTATATATTTTATATTTATTCACAAATACTATTAACACATTTTGTTGATTTGTTTGTATTTCCTAATATCATATTCTATTATTCTTGTTTATCTACTTTATAAAGCCATCAACGGATGGATTTTTGAAATCGTCTGAGAAAAATCCAACATTCAATCAAGAAGAGATTAAAAATGTGTAACATGATATATATAGATATATAATATAGATATATATATATATATATATATATATATATATATATATATATATATATATATCTGAAAATATTCTATCTCACTGTTGTTTCAAAAGTTTTAGTTGCCTTTTTTTAAAAAGCCTAAAGATGAGCTTGTTTCATTTGTTTGTTCTAAGTAACTTCTTATTCCTTGACTTCTTTTGTTTATTATTATTGCAAAGCATAAATACCTTAATTTTAACTTTCAATAATGAATTCTCTAAAACTTTCGTTCCATTTCTTTCCCTTTTTTATTCTTTGCAAATAGAAATGCATCATTTTTGGAATGTTTTTTGTATCATAATTTCTTTACTTCCAAATAAATCATTAAAAAAATTTCAAAGTTCTTCTACGTTTTTTTAAATTTCATTAGTGGATTACTTGAGATTTCGGTCGCTATTATTCAACTTTTATTCAACACATTGCTTTAGTACTGATTTACGGTTGATAAAATATTAAAACCGATCGATAGCTTCTACCGTTGACGTTTTAGAATTTTACAGATCTTGTATTCTTTGAGCAAAATGATTAATTTGGGAAATCAGATATTAAAATGTCTTCACTAATGTCTATCGGCTCCTTCTGTTGTCATAGATTTTACTCAGTCCTTCTTTGTAATTGTGTAATTGTAAGGACCTGACAACGTTGTTTACAAAGTTCTGGGAACTAGAGAGTGTTCCAACGTCATGGAATGAGTCGATAGTTGTCCCTATCTTTAAAAAGGGTTCACGTCGTTCCTGTAACAACTATCGGGGGATAAGTCTACTTCCAACTGCATCCAAGCTATTGGCTTCCGTCATACTTCGTAGGTTGTTCAAAACCCGAGAAAGATTGACCCACGAGGAGCAGGTTGGTTTTCGTTCTGGTCGAGGATGTATTGATCATATCTTCACCCTCCGCCAAATGTTAGAACACTGTCATACTTATCAAAGGCCAACAATCGTGGTGTTTCTTGACATCAGGGCTGCCTTCGATTCGTTGGACAGGACTGTTCTCTGTGATTGTCTGTTGAAGAAGGGTGTGCCTAGGAAGTTTATTAACACCTTGAAGGCACTATATACAAAAACCTCGGGCAGAGTGAGCTCACACAACCACCTCTCTCCATTGTTCCATTCGAGTAGTGGGGTTAGGCAGGGTTGCCAAATCTCAGCATTCCTCTTCAACTTTGCCATTGATGACATTCTGGAAACAACTCTGATAGATGCAAGTAATGGTGGTGTGGATCTGTTGCCTGGAGAAAGACTTCTCAACCTTGAGTATGCGGACGATATTGTCTTACTGTGCGATAATGCCCAAGCCATGCAATCCTCACTTAATCAGTTAGCAATCAATGTCCGTAGGTACGGTATGTGCTTTGCACCTCAGTCAGTCGGTCAGTAACAACGTAGAACTCCGCACGTGCGTACATCAGTTCGAGTTGCCACACCACATGAGCACAGAGATGCGGTCGTCGATTCAAATCCCATAGTGATAGAGGCGGTAAGAGTATAAGCAGTAATCGGATTAGGGTTTGAAAATGTTATTTAAAGAGTATAATCCAGTGAAATAAATTTGGAAAGGAAAAAAAGAGACATGGAGAATTCAAGAGATCAGAATTTGCACCTTCGAAGTGCAAAGCACTTCTACAAGAATAATAGGACCCTGACCATGCACTCACCCTAGGTGGTGAGCAGATAGAAGTGGTTACGAAGTCCGTGTACCTGAGTGGCTGAGTAAGTTGTGGTGGTGGTGGTGTGGGTGATGAGATCAATCCACGTATAGTGGAGGCGAGAGCGGCTTTTGCCAATCTGGGCCATCTCCATGCTCTCATTTGATTGACCGGGTCTATTTTAATGTCTATTGATCGATGAGTGAACAGAGTACCATATTTATAAAAATTGTGGTTAAATTTGTGTTTTCTCTGTCCAGTATTTCGACATTTCCTCAGTGCACTAATGTCCATAGTTATCCACGTGCATTTGTACAAGTGGAGGTATGTAATTGTGTTTAACAGACAGATATTGCTCACCTATATCTCGTTATATAAATTATTTATTTTTCATGTAAAACTTGAACTCAAGAATTACACAAGTAATTTTCTCAAGCTATCACATCTATAATATGTGACTAGTGTGTTTGTAGGTTACACTCTCTATTTGTACAGTTGACTTCCTCGGTCACTGTAATTGATGGAATGAGTAATTTTTGTGTGGATATTACGTTATATATCCCTGAACAGTACCATCATACCGGTCTTCGGTTTTTTTCAAAGTATTTAAATATGATCTTGTGTCTGATAATTAGACAATAAATTTCATTAACAAGGAGAAATAAGTTCCTTTTAAGGCGTTGAGAAATTGCGTCCACTCAAATTCTCCAAAACAACATGAACGAGTATCAAACCTCTTGATATGGCGTAACCATCTCAAATTATTACTCAATATGATCAAAGCTTTGTGATTTTGTAATCTTTGCTTTCACTTTTTTGATGGTACAGTTTCATTTCAATTATTTCGTAACTTTACTCATCTATTAATTAGGAAATGTGGAGTAAGGAAATCTAGTTCCCATCTAAATTAAGTTGTCACTTGTAATCCCAAGTGTTATCGAGACTTAGGGCGCCACTCGGTTGCTAACTTGCTCTTTCAACGGTGGGTTGAATAATGGTCTCATCGTATCACTTGAATGAAGTTGAAATCGGACTCTCTTATTCCATTGTGTCGTACTCGCTGGTTATCATAAATGAACAACAACTGCTATACGAGGATGATTCAGGTGCATGTTACTTCCTAATTTGATGAAATATACTTTCGATTTGAACTGATCTAGTCGTATCCGAGGAAGATTGAATTATTGGTAACCTTCAGAAACTATTTATAGACTGTGATTATATATTTGTGTTTCTCTTTTCATTTGACCTATTAGCTACTATTATACGATTTACTATTCTTAGTTCATTCCAATCTACTGGTTACAGTCTCCCACACACCGTCACTTTTGGATTGAGTTTGTATACCTGTTATTTTCCATTTTGTGGTGTAATGCGATCTGGTCTGCTTGTGTATGAACTACTTATGTCTGAAATATATGATTCATACAGTGGAAGCTGATAGTGTTCTGAACTCAACGACAGGGCTAGGCAAGAAGCGGCTATATTAAGGATCAATAAGGATTCTGAGTGCCAGTTCTTGGTTTAGCACAGGAACAAGTTCATAGAATCAATATTCCAATTGGCGATTTTGTCACATGATAATTGACAAGGGCAGAAAACATTCTCAAGATACTATGAAACTAAATATTTCATAATGATTAGTAATCGAACAAGTAAAACTTCGCTCATGAAATTAATGCATATCTCACAAAGCTTCTTATGATAAAAGATAATCACTGACTTAAATCTGTGGTGTAGAGCGAATCAATAATTAAAATACATTCTTTTCTATTTCCCCTTGTATAATTACTTCCTGTAATAAATACCGCGTTGGAAACGTTGTACCCACCTGGTTCATATTCTTAAATCTATACAGACATTAAGGTTTCAGATATTTTCCAATTGTTGAAATTCATGATTATATCTTATATGGTCCATCAAAGGATTTACTTGGTGATTAAATTATTAAATATCGAAAAAACATTACGAAGTGTACATGAAGTACAAACATGGGTATCTCTTTAACAACATTTTAAAATACACTTCCCAAAGATATTTATTTACAACACGACCAGTACGTATTTACTCCCGTCATGTGTTTACTAATCAGGTGTGCTGCTGTTAACACAATTCACACTGAAGATTTTAGTGCATTTATCCTAATATATATCCTGTGTTTATTGATCCATAATGATCACATGGTATCCCTAATGCCTGAAATAATAACGAATACAATTGTAAAGGCTTAAAATGGAATTCTAGATGGTCTTACTATTTTTTGGCTACTGATTTATATCAATTTGTTAAATCTTGTAAATTAAATGGATTCTATAAGAATTTGTCCCGTTTAAGTATAATTGTTCATAGAAGTTAGTTGGTCTTACTGATGCCCTTTGTTATGTGTCAAAGTGTTACCTATGATCCTCTGAATGATTTAATTCGTGTCGTGATTTTACTCACTGGTCGACTTGAATTCCTTTGATTAAAATAAAGCTCTGTGATCGGTATTCCGTTCAATCTATACTGACTCAAATGAAAATATCGTTTACAAGTAATCCCCGCTAAGTTCGAAGTGAGCATCCTTCGGTATTTCACATATATATGTATGAATTACACTATCAAACAGTATTGTAAAGTAAGAGAGAAACAAAATGATTAGCACACAACAATCTGCTCTGAGAAAAACGTATGCCATTAGACGCTGTGTGGATTAAAACTTAAGGTTCTCCTATTGTATCTAGAGACATCGTGAGTGCGCACCAGCAGCCTCAGAAGCAGTAGGTCTGAACATACACAGAGGGAAAGCCATGATTCTCCGATACAGCACAAACTCACCAATTGAATCACACTTTTCGGAAAGGTTTAGAGAATGTAAAATTCTTCACATATTTGGGCAGCATCATTGATGAACACGGTGGATCTCATACAGATGTGAAAGCGCGGATCGGAAAAGCAAGAGCAGCATATCTATAACTGAAGAACATCTGGAACTCAAAACAATTGTCAACCAACATCAAGGCCAGAATTTCCAATACAAATGTCAAGACAGTTCTACTGTATGGGGCGCAAACCTGGAGAACTACGAAAGCCATCATCCAGAAGATACAGGTGTTTATCAACAAGTGTCTACGCAAAATACTTCGAATCCGTTGGCCAGACACTATCAGCAACAATCTACTGTGGGAGAGAACAAACCAGGTCCCAGTGGAGGAAGAAATCAGGAAGAAGTGCTGTAAGTGGATAGGACACACACTGAGGAAAGCAGCCAACTGGTCACATGACAAGCCCTCACATGGAATCCTCAATGCCAGAGGAGGAGAAGGACCAAAAAACA